TCGACTCATTTTTAGACTTTTCCTGTGAGAATCGAACGGATAAGTGTTGCCTGACGTGCTAACATCAACTACATCCCACGATTCCAGAAACCCTGGCCCAAAGACGAAATGTACACTCACTTCCGAGGGCGGTCCTTGCCATGGGAGGTGGGTGGACCGCAGCTGCGGTAAGTGCCACTTTCTCCACTCGAATGTGCTGGAGAGAAGCGATGCTCAGGTACTGTCCCATATTCCGCCCGCGCTGCCGCACGTCCAGCTACATGTCTAACCGTAGCCGAACGAGCTACTTGTCAGCGCCCTCTCACTTCTCATTGTTCTTTAGCGCTGAGTGTGTGTTTCGCTACATGATCTTGCTTTCGAGGCAAGTGCTGCACATTGAGGATAGCGCGGGCGTGGTATGGAGACGCTTCAAGGGCATCAGTATCCTCCCGTTCCGTACTCGCACAGATCAGAAAAAGTGGCGCGGTCCTGTAGCGGCGAACGCATTGACCTTGCACATGGAAAGGACGGTCTACGGACAGCTATTATAACTCAGTCCCTTTAATAGCGCCAATTTTCTGTTTCTCTCAGCGCCTCACGTCTGCGCGGTGTTCTGCGACCACTCTGACCTTTCACATTCCAGCTTTTCACGCATAATAAGTGGCCTAATCACCCCAGTGTCTCGCCCATCATAAAAGTATATCTCCTGGCTCGCGAACTGTTTTCTGTCCCTCTCAATGCTTTCATAGCCGCAGTTCCTTCTTTCTTTGCGCTCAGGCCTTTCGCAGCAGGACCCCCACGAGCGCTCGCAGTGGAAGCTGCCTCGACCATTACCAGCTTCGACACCATCAAGTTACTGAAGTTTATCTTTATATAACCATAAAAAGTTGGCAGGTAAACCAATTCCACATATATACAGACTGTTATTATGATACGATAGCAAGGCACATTGCGACTATAAGACACATACATATTTGAAGAAAAATGCACTACGTGAGGACAACAGAGAGCGAATGAGAAGGTAACACGACGATGCAGGTCTGGAAGGATGAGGGCATCGCCGTTAGGAAGGTGTTGAGGCCGCGGTCCTCGAGCCTTGTAGCTGGTCTTCTCTTTCGGCGAACTGTTGCTCCGCCCTGAAAAGGCATGAGTCAAGATGGAGCAGTGGAAACCGCCTCACAATTTCCCTCCTTTATTTGAAAGTCCCGTCTCAGACCTTCAAGAGAAATAAGTGCTCACAGGGAGGAGGCATGACTACGGAACACCGCTCCGGATGAGCGGTGGGCACTACGGCAATTACGCTGGAGGCCCAATCCATGACGCGTTTCTAAGACGGGACGATGAGCGACGAGGCTTCTCCCAATATAGACTATCCTGTGACGTCGTGGGATGCGACGTTTTGCGGCAGTAATCATGGATAATCGGCTAAAGTCTGGCGCAGTTATGCATAGGGTTGTTAAACAGGCATCACTTACCTTTTTCTCGCCTGGACCGCTCCAGCTTCGACTTGAGCGTATCGCTTGTGTTGGAGGTTGCAGGGACTGCTCTTGTAGAGGAATACACCATGATATGTGGGCGTCGGGTGTGTGTTGCGCGGCAGCAGAAGGCTTGATGAGTTTGACGCAGTTTGCCCTCATTAATGTTAAATTTTGAGAATTGCTCACCACTTGGTGAAAGCCCCTTAATGCACGTTTGCGCGGGAGCGTTTTTAAATTCAATAACGAATCTGTGTGATTGGCCAGCCGGCAAATAAGAGACGCCGCCTAGGCGGTAGTGTTCAGTCAATACATACCAACCTCTCGATCGACCCACTAACAAAGTGAATGCCCAAAAAATTCTGCTAACCCACATTCACCATCGACTAAGCAACGGGAATGGAATTCGACCTAACATAGAATAACACAAGACTCAGACGCGGATGGCTATACACAGCTAAGTACCTCAGCCCTTCCCATGTGAACAATACCTTTACTTTCTGCGGATCCCTTCATTTTAACTCACTTGTTTCCTAGACGGCTGCGAGCCCTGTCGCCTTATTCTCCTATCGAATCGATTTCGCTGAGCAGCCATGACGGATTCTTGTTATTTTTCCATTCGCTGAAGTGGGACCCTATTTCCCTACTATTTTTCTCAACCATTGGTACATCCCAACATCTATGTCTTTTGACAACCGGTCCCAGGGGTATTTTCTCTTTCTTTTCTTTTTTTTTGCCAAGTGGTTTTAGGCCTCCATTGTTTCAGGCGTTCTACACTCTACCAGACGAAGAAGACTACAGTGACATCTTTATAACTTACGATTCGTAGAAAGAAGAAGCAAGGAGAGAGGACTGCCGTCGATCCTGTGTGCATGAGTCTGAAAAAAAACCTCACGAACTCGTTCCCTGGTCTCTCCCGCCAGGCCCGCCAGATCGTAGTGGTCAAAGGAGTTCGAGGCACTCCCTGCCCCCTTCCATTGGTGGTCCGCTACTTTGACCTCTGTGAGCTACAGTGCTCTCCTTTTCATTGGCGGCCCACCTCCTTTGACCCACACGCCCTCCCTCGGAGATCACGTCCTCCTCGATGTAGTCAATCTAGAATTCAGGCAACATTGCCCCTACGCTTTCTTTCGTGCTCCCTCAAAGGCACGTTTAGGCACACTGGCCCCTACATGCTTGCTGAAAAACTGGCCACTGTCCTCAGGTGCAGGCCCCTACATGCTTGCTGAAGAAACTGGCCACTGTCCTCAGGTGCACAGGCTTCAATGTACAACTTCCCATCGACTATTTTAGACCCAGATGTGATGAAAATTTGATTACCAGCGTCAATCTTCATTAAGGTGCTGTCCATGGCGCTCCAGAAGCTCCATCATTTCGCGCCACCTTGTCATATTTGCCTCGCTGACGGGAGGCCATAAACGTGACGATTTTTCCTCCGCTAGTAACTTGTGCTTCTGCCAACTTCAAAAGTTTTCAGCTTCTCTTTGACATTTCGGGTCGATGGGCCAAGTTATCACCCAGCTTCGATATGCAGTCCATTTATCGAGGACTTCCAGCAGTCGATCGAAAGTGGTGGCCTTTTTATAACGATATATCCTCTCCGGCCGTCCTTTTCCAAAGGCGAGATATTTCACCGGCAATGAACCCCACCAATCCTTCTTTTCGAGGCCTGCTGGAATGATGTCTTCCAGTAGTTCTTGGCGAGCTGCCTTCAGTGCCTCATCGTATGACTGATCAAAGTAGTGTCCACCAATCGAGCTGTGCTGCTTGATAATTTCCGTGTTCATGAGGAAATCGGTCCAATCGATGCACCTGTCGTACGCCATCTTGAGCACGTCCTTGAGCGATTCTGACTCGTAGCATACGACGCCTTCTCGGTGCATCTTTATCTTCTCTCCTGTCTGGACGTCCGTTCTCCTGAAGATGCTGGTGGCTAGCCAGGCTTTCCACAACGTCGTTATCGGCTCCTTCGCTACTCGTGTTAGGGATGCACCAGTAAAAAGCCGTCCCCGCACAGAAATCGCAAATGTCCTCTTTCTAGCGGACTGAGCAACGTCGCACTACTGAAATACGGTACATGCTCTGAGCTCTAACTCTTGTCGGTTTTCTACCTCGTTTTCCTGTCTTTGTTCTTGTGTCGATAGGGTCATCGGGAATATCATTTCAGCACCTTCCTTACCATGTCAAATTTGCACTGCTTAGGACTCTTTATTTCCACGCATTCTGACTTATCAACGCGCAGCAATTATTGACTGGTCGTGGTTATTCTGGATGGCCCCGTCACTCGGATACCAGTTTCGGATGTGCATCGGAGGCTTTCTCTTTAGGGGCTAACAAATACACATCTCCTACTTTCGGTAGTTTTTCCACACTAACTTTTTCCCCCTTATCATACTCCAGTTTTTTATAGTCTTTCAACATTTCTCTATCTATTGCCATACCCAACTTATGACCACCCTTAGGTATGATTGTGAGGGGAAGTTTAGGTTCGCACCATGCACACGAAGTAAAGACTCTGCCTGCTGAACCGATTTTGGCTGTCATGATTTTACCGCATGAGGCACAACGGCAACCTCCACTCAATTCTGTGCCGCGGTGTCGTGGTACTGCGACGGAGATCGCTACTATCGTGGCATTCAACCTTTCCGTAAAGCCGTTTTCTCTTGGATTTTATCCTTCTGTGAAGACATGCTCGATTTTCGTGATCCGGATCAGTTCTAAGCCTTCACGAAGTCATAAACACCTCCAAGTTGCTAACTTCCCATTTCAACTAAACCTGAGCGCCAAGTCTGACGAAACTGGCCATCACTACCATCAGTCACACTTTGAAACTGTAGTCTTTACGAACTTTCTTCCTTACCCAACAGGCCAGCGAAGCTTACTATTCACGCATCTCTTTGACTAGTACCGACTTACTTCATCAGAGCCCGCTACACGCATCCCTCTAAGTTAGCCGGCAAGAACAAAATATGGCAACCAAGCTATCGAGCGGAATCGAGATTCTCATTGATTTTTCTTATGAGACTGTACTCAGATCCGTGATGTCCTTGGAGAGATCAGCTAGTCAAGTTCAAGTGCTAAAAGGATCAACGCTGACCTATCAGAGAAAAAAATCACATTCTAATAATAGAACATAGCATAAAAAGTTCAATAGGACTGAGCTAAAATATACACAAAAGAGAAAGGCGAAGAAAAGCAAACTGCAATTGACTAGCAGCGAAAAAGTCTGAGGTTCGATAGTCAGCCGCGATACGCAGCCAAATTAGTAGAGACATACGAGCGCATCTCCGTGTGGAAAGGATTACGCAAACTATGCAACTCATTCAAATTGCTGATGCAAAACATAGTAAGACGTTTTAATAAAGGTTAATGAGATGAGAAAATGATTTAGTACGATGCAATAAGAGTAAATAAGTGATTAAGTTAAGCACTTAGAAACTATAGTGTACCAAGGTAATTTATTCAAATTTAATAGGAATTGACTGTTGATCCGAAAGAACGAATAGAGTTCAATGAGTAATAAAGATGCTTTACACACGCATAAGGAATCATTTAAATTTAGGCCCAACAGCCATTTGAAACAATGCATATTCCTATAACATGGTAGATCAACATTCAAAAAGATCACTATTATGCATTAATAGGCAATAACTTGCACTTTATATTAGAATAACATTAACACAAATTTCTTATATAATATATAAAGGATTTGCAACCTTTGTTATATAACAAATTGGTCTCTCATTTTTCATTTCACAAACGCAAGCTACCGTCCTTTCTCTCAACTAACACAATTGGGAATGCCCATTCGGAGTTGCTCTTCTCGATAATTCCTCGATTCTGCAAATCTGCTAGTAACTCCTTTAGTTTCTTCCTCACTGCTAATGGAACGGGTCGCGTTTTCACTTGATAGGTCGGTTCTCCCCAGTGTCTATGTCCATAGATACCTTATCCGTTCCGGTCAGTTCCATATCTGACACAGAAAAAGCCGAGGGAAATTCATCTAGTACTTCCATAATGTCATCACTCAAACAGTCCACATTCGAACTTTGTTTGATCTGCTCCATCAGTAAGGCTCGCCGCTCCTCTTCATCATTTACCCCATTCGCTGCTTCTAACATACATGGGTTGCAGTCTTCCCATTTTTCCTTCCATTTTTCTGTACCCCAGTGGCCAATTTCTTCACCTCGACCAAGGAAACATGGCACATCTCCATGATTCACCTACGGGGATCATCCACTTCTTGATTTGTGATTTTGAACACACCACAACTCAGACCTTCTCTGGTTGGCCAAATGACGCCCTCCGTCACTTGTGCTCCAACATCACAATGCGCCGGCACAAACCTTGCCCCATGCGGTGGATATATACCCTGGGGGGCACGGTGAAAGACTTTTTTCTTCCTTGACATTCGAGGCGCTGTAAGTTACACTTTATTGAATTCTTATCGGATATTTTCACCACCATATTAAAGAGCATATCAAATACTATTATGATACTCCGCCACAGCCTTCTGGAGGAGCGCCATCGAGAGATTCTGCCACGCGCGTGAGTAAGTCTGAGAGCAGTCCGGATAATCGATTTCTCCCGCCACCGTAGACAGACCTATTAACTCGCTTGAACCAGGTAATTAGTCAGGCTTGGCGTCAATGCACCGCTTGAATATTTCACCTTCCTTAGGTCACTCAAGCCCTCCTTCCAAGTAGGCGAGTGTTTCTCCAAACGAAACTTCGATTATGTCGGTGCACTCAATGCCTGTACAGACAAAGTCCAAGAGTACGGGCAACACATGTGGCAGTGTATTTTCTCGATTGCCTCGATTTAACAATCCCATTGCTCACCTTCAGTGCGTTGCCGCGAAAGAATAATATTCGGTCTTCCTATATCAGCGTACGTCCAGGTCCTTACCAGTCAACTGGCGCCTTGTCACTGGGTGAAATATTCTGGACTAGTAGCGACGTGACGGCAGCTGCTCGATGATGGAGCCTTTCCACGATCGAGGTACTGCGTCCTCCAGGTCAGCTTCATGGGTGACTCCATACTAGAAGTTTCGCAGCTGTTTGGAGGTGACATGAGTTCCGAAGGTCTTCTCCAGTCAGGTTGCGGCTGGAGATGACTTCATATTTTGGTGTACATGAAGGCGATGGGCGAGCCAGCTTCGCTCCTATGAGCAACATCTGGGCATCCCCCCTTAGTCGTATCCCACGTTCTCTGTCTGCGACTGCCGAAAACTTTGCTGTATGTACTCGTGCGAAATGTATTTTTTGCCCCCCTTAACCTCTCTCGCTGCACAGAATGACTTGTCTGCATCCCTTGTACTTTTCAGTATCTGACTCCGTCTCAGAAACTCAGCTGACTTCCAGGTCGCTAGGATGTTGGTCTCAACGTATGCCTACTATCTGCAATTTAGAAAGCTACCAGGCTACGTCGCCCGCCTTCCAGTTCGACACCAATTTTAACGGCGCCTAGAAATTCCATCTTATTATTAGATGCGTCGTACACATGCACACCATCTCCATTTATGACCTCAAGACTGCCCACGTTGAATCCTCTATCCTTTGCTCGAGCCAACACACCCACGGGAATTATACTTATCATCGATCCCGTATCCAACAGAGCGGGTATTTGGGTCTGTAACAGCCTTGCCGAACGTGAAATTCTTTTCCCGACTAACGGTGTTGTCTTGACTGGACCAACCACTCATCCTGACTCCCATACTCCTCGCTTTCAGTATGATAAGTGAAATTCCGTCCTCTGGTGGGGTTTCCTCACTTCCCTGACACTCACTGATCCATTTCACATGGGTTCTCCTGAGGACATTCCTTTCGCTACATGTCCAAACCTTGAACAACCCTTTCACTTTCAGAAACACTTTCTGTTCTCATTGATTTTTCTATCCGCAGACCTGCTAACCTTAGGGAGAGTTCTCTGTTCAGGTGCTCTACGTGCAGAGCTTGCCTCACTATACATACTTTAGCGGCTTCTGTCGTCTTCCTCTCGTCATGGAATCGTTTCCTTTCTTGCTATCACGCTGACTCTGTTGAGAGCACTGTAGCCCTTTTACGATTTCGCTCTCGACTTCCAGTTGCTATACCCCATCTCGTTTTTCCTCCTGTGATTCTCCGAACATCCGCTTGGATTACTCGATGGAAAGGGCCAATTGCTTTCACCTCTTCATAGGCTTTCTCCGGCTTTGTTCTATGAAGCGCACTCAATAGCTGCACATGTTCCGGCCAGTCTCTCAGGTTAGACAAGAGGATATGTGCGAACTCTAGTGAACTGTCCTCAGTACTACCGTGAGGATTAGCCTTCCTTCCCCAACTTTTCTAGGGCCACGCAAAAGTCAGCGACATCCTGTTGAGGGCGAATTCTCAACTCGCGCAGCTCAGAGATAGCTCGCATCCTACCACCCACAGCATCTTTCTTTCCTAGATCAGCTTGAAACCTCTGTTGTCGTATCTCCACCGGCAGCGAAAGAAACATGGACTTGGCTCTACCGCCTAAGTGATCATCCCCAAGAATCTCGATAAGGGTATGGTCACTCATTACAACCCTTTGGTACTTCCTACGAAACCTTCGAATGAACTTGAATGAACACCGCGACAATCTACTCTTCACTGTTAAAATATAAACTAGCCTGTACAAGGCACGTGATATAGGGCCCCTTTTTGTAATAAGGCTCTCGCAGACAGAACAGTTTCAGAAAAC